CCCAAGCATGGCAGTCAGTCACAGGGAAACAGACAAGAGAAAAGGCCATCATACCTGCCAGACTTCTGAAATACAGAAATGACATCAATGGCTGCTATGTCGATTAATGCAAGGGATAGACGCCTCCCTCTTCCTTGAAGCAGCTGTCATGGAAAGAAAGAAAAGAAAGAAGGAATGGAGATGATGTTACTTACAGGGGGAACCCCAGGAAACAGCACAAAAATAAAGGAGGTAGCTCCATAATTGTTTCTTCAGAATGCATTATTTCTGTGTTGGAAAGTTGATGGGAGATGAATATATTCCTGCAGTTTTTTTCCTCTCTTACCACAGCCAGGTTTTTATCAGGTCCCTCTGTCAATTCTCTACTGCACTCAGATATTTCCAGAAAGCTGATGTGGGAAAGGCTGACGCTATTTTCTATGTCAGAATCTTATTCACTTCTACTTATGATTGCATCTTATCTCAGTGTCTCTGTGGTGGTAGCGCCATGAATCAGACTCCCGCCAGGTTCATGAATCTGATTGATGAAGGCCCAGGTCAGCGCATTTCCCCAAATTCACTACCTCCTTTGCACAGAAAGCTTCCTTCTACAGGCTTGCAGCAAGGGCGTTGGTAAGTGCCTGCCCTCTGAGGCTCTCTTTAACTCTAATGGGTGACTGGTTGGAGGACTCCCCATCAGCCTTGCAAAAACTCTCTTAGAACTGCATTGATACCTAAATTTCTCTTTTTCGACAGGAGTGAGCTTTGCATAGTGGTTCAGTTCTCTCATAATTATCTTTCTTTCACATATGCCTGCTCTACATTCCTCACAGGTGTCTTCCTGATAATTTATCTTTGGTTTGTCTAGTCCTGTCCTGGATGCATCTCAGTTGGTTAAAAAAAAAGAAAAGAAAACATACCAGGATTGATTTACACTTAGGTTTTTTCCCTTTCTCTCCCACAAGTAGTCAGTAACCATGTCCTAGTGTTTTTCGTGGCACTTTTTTTCTATACATGGAAATAGGTACTGTTGAGGTACATCTTATGTGTCAGGCCCTGTGCTAAATACTATACCTGTATCTCATTTAATTCACACAATAACCCTGTCAGTTACAATTTATTTCCATATTGCCGATGAAAGGACAGAAGCTTAGAGTAGTGTAAAAACTTTCCTGGTGTCATATGGCTACTAATAGGAGGATCTGAGATTTCATTCTGGGACTATTTGACCTCAAGGCTAATGATCACAGTATAATATGTAGTTGACCTGTTTGTCAGGTAGGTATCTGTTTCATTGACTGCATGAAACCTTTGAAAGAATCGATGAAGCAAGCTCTCTGCATGCTTCAGATAAGTGAAAGAAGAAACAACCAAACCCAAGCACAGTGAATGAAGTAAAAATATGGCTTAGAGGATAAAATAAAATGGAATGAAAAAGAATACAGTAACTCACAAACCTGTACATTCTTCTAAAATAAAATCAACAAAATTGACGACCATTAACTAGACTAAGAAAAAAAAGAGAGGTGATTAAACATAAACTAGAAATGAAATGGAGTCCAAGTATGGTGGGTCAGTGTTTTAATCTCACTTTGGAAGGTCACAATGGAGGATTTCTGAGGCCAGGTGTCTGACCAGCATAGGTAACTCCGGGAGACCCTGTCTCTACAAAAAAATTTTAAACCAGTTAGTTGGGCATGGTGGCATGCAGATCTGTAGTCCATTGATTTTTGGGGGCCAGTGAAGTGAGAATCCCTTCAAACAGGAGGTTGAGCTACAGTGAGGCACATTCACACTACTGCATTTCAGCCTGGGCTGGCCTACAGAGTGAGCGCTCTCTAAAATAAAAGTTAAAAGAAAAACAGAAATGAAATGATTACTACCAATTCTAATAAAATAATGATTATGAAATTACTGTAAATACTTGTATGCCAATAAATCGTATAACCTAGATGGGATAGACAAATTCCTAGAAAAACACAAAAATATGAATAATTATAACTGCAATAAAAGATTGAATCAATAAAGCATTTGATGAAATTCAATATTTTTCATAATAAAACATTCTAACTAAGAATGTAAGGAAACCACCTCAACATAAAGGCAATATGTGGAAAACCCAATGTTAACATCACACTCAACGGAGAAAGACTGAAAGCTTTCTCAAAGGAGAAAGAACAAGACAAGGTTGCTGCTTGGACACTTCTATTCAATGTAAATAAAGGTTCAGTCAGAAAAATTAGCAAGAATTTTTAAAAAGACATTCAAATTGGAAGAAAGGAGTAAAATTATTTCTGTTCACAGATAACTTGAACTTATACAGAAAATCCTAAAAGATGGACAAACCCATTAGAATTGATAAATTGAATTCAGTAATGTTCCACAATACAAAATCAATATTCAAACATCAGTCGTATTCAATACACTAACCATGGATAATCCAAGGGAAATTAAGAAAAAAATTTTAATTTGTATTAAGACTAAAAAAGAATAAAATATTTAGGAATAAGTTTAACTAAAGAGGTGAAATGATTATACCTGAAATCCATAAAATATTGCTTAATGATGACATCAATAAATTGAAAGACATTTTGTTTTAAGGAAATAGAAGATCACTGTTGTCAGAGGACAATGAAACCCAAAGTGAGCCGCAGATTCAATGAGACCTCCCTGAATCTCAGTGACATTTTTGCAGTAAAGAAAATCCATCCTAAAATTTATATTGAAACCTGCGACCCTAAATAGATAAACAACTTTGAACAGAAGAATGAAGCTGAGGACTCACACTTCCTGATCTCAGCATTTACTACAAAGCCCCCCATAACTAATAGAGGTGGTACTGGTGCAAAGAGGATATAGAAATTAATGAAATGGAACAGAGACTCCAGAGAAATATTTTGTATATATGGTCAAATGATTTTCATCAAGTGTGCCAAGATCGCTCAATGCGGAAAGGACAGTGTTTTCACCTAAATGATATTGCAAGCTGGATATCCAAGGGTGGGTAAGATGGAACTCAGCTAGCATCATATACAAAAATTAATCTACACAATAGATCAGATATCTAAATGTAAGAGCAAAATCTATACAACCCTTAGAAGAAAACAGGATAAAAACTTCATGATATTGGATTTCACAATGATTTCTTGGCTGTAACAACAAAAGCATAGGCAACAAATAAAATGGATAACTGGACCATAAAATCAAAACCTTTTTATATATCAAAGAACATTATCAAGAAAGTAAAAAGGCAACTCAAGTGAAATGAGAGTAATATTGCAAATTATAAGTGTGATAAGAAATTAATTTCAGAATACACAAAAACTACGAAAACAACAGCAAACATCCAGAAACCCAATTAAAAATGAACAAAGGATTAAAATAGAGTTTTCTCCAAGGAAGATATACAAATATCCAATAAGCCCATGCAAAGTTCCTCAATGTCATGAATACTTAGAGATATGCAAATCAAAACCACAATGTGACACCACCTCACACACTTTAGGATGGCTTTGATAAACAACAACAATGACAGCAACACAAAACATCAAATATTTTCAAATAGATGGAAAAATTGGAGCTCTAGTGCATTGCTGATGGGAATGGGAAATGTTATAGCCACTGTAAAAGGTGGTATGGCTGTTTCTCAAAAAATTAAACAATAAATTACCATTTGATCCAGCAATTCCACTTCTGTACATACTCCCTATAGAATTGAAAGAGATTTGAGGAAATATTTGCACATTGATGTTCAGAGAAGCATTACTCACAATAGCCAAAAAAGGAAGCAATGGAAAAGTCCATTGAAAGATAAGTGGGTAGGCAAATGAGGTATATCTATACATCGAAATGTTATTCAACCTTAACAAGGAATAAAATTCCAGTACATCATGCAAAATGGATGAACCTTGAAGACATTATGCTAACTGAAATAAGCCAGACAAAAAAGGATAATTATTATATAATTCCATATATGAAAGATAGAATAGCCAGTTACATAGAGACAGAAAGTACAATGATGGGTGCTAGAAGTTAGGGGGAGAAGGAGTGAGAGTTACTGTTTATCGGGTAAAGAAATTTAATACGGTAAAAGGAAAAAGATCTGGAAATAGATAGTGTGATTGTTATACAACACTAAATTACACAATTAGAAATAGTTAATGATATATTAGACATATACAAAGTGTCTGGCAGTCTTACCCTCTCTATAAATACACACTTTTTGGCATTGCCCCTTTCCTGCCATGCAGAGCCCGAGAGGTGATTCTCACTATTTCTCCAAGTGTGCATCACTCACTGTCCTCTGTGCTGTGTCCCACATGCTGTTCCCACAGCCTCATACAGCCGGTGACTTCAGAACCAGGACACAGCTCAAGGGTCTGCCCCGAGGCTCCCTCTCTTCTTATTTCCCTGCAGCCTAGGCTTCGCTTCAACTGGCAGCTCAATTTAGCCGAATTCAGGACGGGCCACCAGGACTCTTTCTCCACACATGCTGGTCCCACAAAAGGTGGAGTCAGGCAGGGCCAGTCACCGGAGAACCCTGGAGCAGAGCAGGGAGCGGTTGGAGCTGCCCCTCTCTCTTCCAAGGGGCTTCCTCCTCTCATTTAGGGGAAAAATGTGAGCTTGTTTCAAAGCCTCAGATGTTCGTTGTAGCTCATGGAGTAGGTAAAAGAAAACAAAGATGTGGCAGAAAGGGATGTGTCGGTGACAGCGAGAAGCAACTTGATCTTGAGGACTCTCCTTGTCCCTCTGTGAAGCCTCTTCCACCACATAGGGCTCAGGGCTGACAAAGCCTCCCCCCTACCGTTCTCAGGCTGGACACAAGGTCAGCCATGAAAAACAGAAGAACAAGCAGAAGAGAGTCTGTAGAGACAAATTGGGAGGGTTCAGGAGGAGAAATTAGGATTTGCTTCTGCCCATGGGGCACAGACTGGGAATAAAAATGTTTTCCTGACTCTTCTCTGAAGGCCAGATAGACTCCACCTAAAACCCTATTGCCAATGATGCAGGGATCCACTTACCAGAGACTTTGATCGTCTTGAATGTGGAACGTTCCCTGCCAGTGACTGAGTTACGAACACAGCAACCATAGCGCCCGCTATGCGTTGTAGTAATTTGGGGGATAGAGAGTATTTGTCCTGATTGCAGAAACTTCCCATTAATTGTCCAAGTATACTCTGCCGGTGGGTTAGAGTCCGCGAAGCAGTACAAGTAGAGGTTTCCTCCTGAATGGTAATATGTGAATGAAGGGGAAATCCTGGGGAAGTCTGGACCATCTGGAGTAAAGACAATAAAGTCACAGGTGATGTCATCCGAGGGAAGGGGATACTCCTGGTCTCTTAAAGGTACACAGTGTCCCTCTGAACCAAGACACACCCTTTGGTCCCAGCCAAACCCCTCTGTGTTCACTGAGCTGAGGCTTGAGGTATTCACCTGTTTCTGCCATCAGAGACTGTAGATCCCAAGTCTCCCATGACAAGAGTATCCCCTCCCCTTATATTCTTGGTTAAGGCTGTGCCTGCAGGTTTCCCAGATCAGGGAGTCATGGCCAACTCGGGTTGTCCAGAAATGAAAGTGTCTGTACTTTGACCTGAGAGAGACTGAGATGCCTGGCCTCTGTTTGTTTGAATTTAAGCTGGTGACTTGGCCTAGAGGGAACCAAAGATACTCACAGAGGGCATCCCAGACGGTCACTGCATACTACTGTCGGTCCCGTGTTTCACATTCATAGGGTCCTGTGTTTCTTAGACATTGGGTAGAATGAGGAACCTGTTTTACCGGTTGCTTTAGCCTGGGAGGCTGACAGGAGAAGCTCTCTGACATTTACCCACCACCACCACGTGAGGTAGTTTTGGAAGTCTTAGGTTCACAGGTTAAGGTTAACATTCTTATTCTCCATGGGGTTGAAGTTACATTGCTGGTGATGTTGGGCGACTCCGCTGTGTGGATAACAGAGAGAAGTTTGTCCTGTGTGGCAGCTTTGATTCTTCCACAGGCATCTTCAATCAGGGTCCCAGCTCTCCCACCTCTCAGCCCATCTGAGTCCTTGAGAAGCCAATAGCTGGAGTGCGTGTGTCGAAGACAGATGCATGATGACCTAAGGGCTCAAGGCTGTGAGCTGCCTGTCTTGTAAAAAGCAGCTTTCTCGCAAGTGTGAATTGAGCAGCAGTGCTGGGTCATGTACAGACACTTCAGTGGGGTAGAGCACCTCAGGTACCCCTCCCAGTCCCCTCTCCTAATCAGCTGTCTGGCTGGCTCACCTTGTTCCTTACCTGGAATGTGTGCAACTGCTGGGCCCCTTCCAAATTCCATCCTACTTTGCCCTTTAGATCCAACGTCTCTGCAGCTTCCATTTCAAGGACATTCCCCAGAGATGAGTAATAATGGGACTTCCATTTGTCCTGAAACCACAAGAATGCCTGAGCAGCGTGGCTGGGACTGCTGTGAAACTAAACGCAGGGCCAAGGTCAAGCCTGGAGGTCAGTTCAGTCATCAGGCAGTGAGCTTTCTAAGGTGGGAGCATTGTGTGATTTTCTGCAAGTGTTTCATGATGACTTATGACCAGTGACCTCCAAAAGATAGAGAGCAGAGTCCTAAAAGGAATGATCTAGAAAGAGTGAAGGGGACAGGCAAGAGCTGGTGGCTTTGGAGCAGAACCATGTTCCCTGTTCTGAGTTTCTTTCGTTCCTCTCCTTCTGCAAAAGGCAGGTGAGGACTATGTGGATCTTTCCAGAAATACATGTGGACATTTGCAGAAATGCCAGAACTGACTGGTGGAAAGGTGGGAGCAGACACTTTCCGTCAGTCCTCATTGGACCATGGGTTTTTGATGGATATGAGATAAATATGGGGGGAAATTTTGCAAATATTTTCTTTCACAGGGACACTCTACTCTCAGCGATTCCATGGGTTTGACTACAGACCTCATGTTAGTGGATTCCAGAGTGAATCTGTGAGAGAACTGCTGGTTTCCAGGAGCGGGAGTGGGGAGAATCAGAAGTTGTTCATGTGTGTGCAGTTTCAGTTGTATGCAAGGCGAGGGAAGTTCTAGAGATCACTACATACAGCAGTGCCTATAGTTCACACAGGTGGAGTGTTTCTTATGGAGCTTGGAGAAAAAAGTGTTTGAGTTTCTGATTTTTGATTCACAAGAAATATTTGTCACTCACCTGGTTGCTTGTCCCAAATCTGAAGATTCAAAATCTAAAATGCTCCAGTTAGCATTCTTTCAGCATCAGATTAATACACACCCAAAGTGGTAGGTGATTATCCAGCCACATTACCCCCTTTTTTTTTTCTCTCACCACACGTTTCTGGCATTGGTTTACAGTGCAGTTCCCATACTGGCCATGCTGCTGTATATTTTTGAGAAGGCTTTGGGATGGCAGAAGAGAGGCCCAGTTGCTATTTTCTACGTCATCAAATCTTTCCACCTTTTCATGGTTGCATCTTTTTCTCAGTGTCTCTGTTGTGGCAGTCATCAATAAGAGCCTGTCAGGTCAGATTTGGGACAGATTTTTGTAATTCTGCAAAGTATGTTACTGGGATTCTGGTAGGCTAACGTTGAATCTGCATCTCACTTTGGGTAGTATTGTCTTCCTAACAATATTGATTCTTCCAATCCGTGAAAATGAAATGCTTTTCCACATATTGATGTCATCTTTAATTTCTTTCAGTAATGTTTTGTAGTTTTCAGGATATAACCCCACTACCTTTTGGTTAAGCAAAATATTTTATTTTTTGATGTTAATGTGAATTGGTGTTAATTTCCTTTTTCAGATTGTTCATTGAGTGTAAAGTCGACGATCTAAGCAGAAAGAGTGAGGGACAGCTAGCTGGTGGTTTGGATCAAGACACATATTCCCTGTCCTGTGTTTTTGATTTTCTCCCTCTTTGCAGGGGGCAGGTGGCTCTTTCCTGATAGTCAGATAGACTTCACTGCCCAAACATATTGCCAATGTGGGAAGTCACCACCTACCAGGGACTATGATCCTCTTGATATGAGTTGTTCTACCAGTGGCTGAGTTATGGATAAACAGACACTGGAGCCCTGTGCATATTTTAGTGATTGGGAGATAAAAAAGAACAGTTGCTGTGTGCTGATTGCTGGAATCAGCCAGCAATGTTCTGCCCGTGGGAGTGAGAATCTGTGGGGGAGAGCTTGGGGACTCCATACTTCGTAATAAGTGTATGAAGAGAATAAATGGTGGGGGCATCAGACCGTTCAAAGAGAATAAAGTCACAGAGTGATGTCAGAGGAAGGGAAAATCCTGGTGTGGAAGGGACCAGAAGCCTGGCGGCTAAGTACAACACTGGTTCAGCCAAATCCACTGCTGTGATGCCAGTCTGGACCTGAGACATTTACCTGTTTCTCCCATCATAATGTGTGGACCCTGATTCTCCCATGACAGGAGTAGCCTTTTCTCTCAATTTTTTTGTTCAAAGCCCTAAGCCTACTCTGGTTTACCTGGGGGCGAAAGTCATAGCCAGCTTTGATGTCAGAGGTAAGGTCTGTACTTTCCTGAGAAAGGACTGACCTCCTGGCATGTGTGTTAGCAGCCTGCCTCACGGAGGTAGAAGATACTCACGGAGAGATTCAGGTGACTGGGTCACTGCGGCCAAGAACTCACTGGATTCTTCATTTCACATTCATAGGGTCCTGCTGTATCCTTTGTATTGTACAAATATAAAGGGTCTGTTGTTTTCGGACAGCTGCAACTTGCGACTGGGGAGAGCTCTGACCTCCACCACAGGCCCAGCTTATCCCCCAACCCCGGAGATCACAGGGTCGGATCAGTCTCCCGGCCTCCCTGGGGTGTAAATACTGCTGGGAGAATGTATGGCCCAGGAGTCTCCACTGTGAGCTAACAGAGAGAAAGATTGCCCATGGCAGCATTTGATTCCTCCTACTTTCAGTAGAGTTGGCATTTACCCCTCTCAGCCCACACAAGTCTTTAAAAGCCCATTGCAGGTGTGTGTGTTACAAAGGGTAGCGCGTGCAGGGCTCAGGGTGTGAGTTGCCTGCTTTATGTGGAGAAGCTGGAGCTTTTCAAGTGCGGTGCCCAGCAGTATTAGGTCATGGAAAGACACGGGACCAGCAGTCACAGCCCCTGGTGTCTCTCTGAGTCTCTGGCCTGCTGGCCCACCCACTCATGAATGGTCCTCACCTGGAGCATGCAGTGCTGGAATCTTCTTAGTTTCAGTCTTACTTTGTCCCCCAAGGTATGTTTTCTCTGCAGCTTCCCTTTCCAAGGACATCTAGGAGTGTTGGAACTTCCCATTGTTCTTAAACCCTTTGGGCACTGGGAATCCTGGCCTGGACTGGGTAATTCAGCAGAAATAAACAGGAGACCAAGAATCAATGGAAGGGGAGTCCAGTTCAGTTATCGGAGCAGTGGAGCCACAAGGTTGCAGACGTTCCCAGCTGTCTCATGGTCTGACAGGCCAGTGACCTCTAAGAGCAAGTCAAGAAGATGAAAGTGAGGCAACAGGCAAGGCCCCACGATGGCTTTGGACCAAGACCATGTTCTCTATTGCCCATGATGTTCCCTTCCCCCTGGGGAAGGTGAGGACCATGTGGATGTTTCAGAAATACAGGTGGATATTTGCAAATGCAGAACTAGAAAGTGGTGGAGGCGAACACTTGCAGACAAGTGATGGAAGTCAAGCCTGAACCTGTGTTTGAGTGACTAGCCAGACTAATGTTTGGAAAGGCACAGATCTTTCTCTCATTGTTGGGCTCTCGATTCTATGAGTTTTGACTTCTCTATGTACCTCATCTCAGTGGATTCCAAGAATCAGAGAGTAGAATAGTAGTTTCAGAGCCGGATCGTGGGAATAGGGCATTACATGTGTGTGCAGTTTCAGTTATGCAGGATGAGGAGATTCTAGAGATCTCCTGCTTAGGCTTCATAGTTCACACAGATAAATTGTTGCTGTGCAAGCTTAAAACGAAATGTTTAGTTTTCTAACTTTTTTTATTTGAATATTTACCTGCAGGCATATGTGTACTGGTTTATTTTAAATCTGAAAAATTTAAAATCCAAAATGCTCAGAAACATATACAGCACATCAGTTGCATGTCGAAATTATTTGGATTTTGGAGCATTTCCAGATATTGGATTCTGGATTTGGGATATTCAGTTTGTAATACAGTAATTTTCCCATAAAAATTTGTCAGGAGTTTAGACCTCAAGTTATGTTCTGATTCTAGTAACAAACAGCATATTTGGAGGAAACATTAAAATGTTTTCATAAGTGGAAAATTTTACTGGAT